GATTTGCATAACACCGCCCAAATGTTCACGCAAAGAAAGAAGGCGTAACTTTTATTCTCGCTGTAGTTTTGTTGTTGCAGCTGCCATGTCGTAAAGACGCTGTGTTTCATTGTGGAAGGGAAACTACTTTGTTTGGTCAACGTTTTTGCATTCGAATGTGGATTTTTATTTTAAATTCGACGAATATTCGAAATTCGAATTTTTTTTGACAACCCTAATGTGCGGCATATTTCCGGGTAAATCATAATACCCAGTAATAAATCATTAGCTAAACCAAGCCCCGCCCACATAAGATTTGATTGGCTCTTGGAATTCAAGGTTTTGAGATTAAGATTATTTTCCCCACATGTGCAAGTTTGATTCATGTCAATGGAAAAAAAAAAGCCATTTCAGAGGCTGATATGGTCATTTCTAGTTTAGAAATCAGAGAACCTGATAAATAATGTACAACAAGACCAAAGACATGAACTAAAAAGAAAGCAAATAGGGTCATCTTAAGGAAGAAACCTGATTTAAGTCACTTTAGAAAGGCAGTTTAGCATGCTGTCAACCTCCACTAGGCTGACTAATCAAACCCACAGCTCAGCGCTGAGAGAGCCAGTAAGGATGATTGAATGAGAGGGGGGAAACGATAAACATTTGAAGCAATCAGACACATTCTCGTTTTCCATCCAGCAGCTCTTCCCGCTGCGATCCAGAAGCCTGATGTGTGTCAGGATGAATAAAGGTCGTGCTGGAACCTAACCAAGTGCTGCATAGCCATTTCAACTAGAAACACCGGACAGGCCACAAAGCCATGGCTCATCTGCCAATAAGATAAAGAGCACATCTGAAAACCACCATATTCCTACCTTACAGTCTGCCGCCCCAGAGGAAGATGAGTGGGAAAATCTGGAAAAAAATACATTTCTTAATCAGTATTTGTCTTGCTTTCAAGATGTCTAAATATCAAGGTAAATTTACTTGAGAAGCAAGATTGCATTGGATATTAAGATTTAATTCAAGATATACTCTCTTAAAATTAGTTTAGTTTGTCTTACCCCAATGGCAAACTCATTTTAAGCATAAACTTGCTTGCAAAAATTGGATCATTCACCAAAAATGAATATTCTGACATTATTTACTCACCCTAATAATTTTTCAGTGAACTACCCCTTCAATATCTTCCGCAATTTTGCTTCTCAAGTAAATTTATCTTGCCAAACAATGAGAGAAATGAAGGAAAGAGAGCGATATGTGAAAACAGATAAATACAGGGTAAAACAACTCAAGAAAAAAGTTCTCACACCATATGCGCCATTGATTTCCTATTCTCTCGGAAACATTTAATGAGCTTAAGCGGAGAAGGAGAGATTGAGGGAGAGAGTAAGAGACAAGGAAGAAAACAGATAAAGCCTCACAGAAATTTCCCTGAGAGAGCAAATCATTCAGGAGGACAAGAAGGTGCTTAGCAGAGGAACAGGTGTTGGATGTGACGATTTCCACACTGGTATCGGAGCCAAAACCAGCGGGAGTCCGTCAACAAGGAGCAAAGCTAGACCACATCTGTCTGCAAGTCATTCCCAGAGCGTCAACACATCTCGCAACAATGGAGAATGAATAGAGCAAGAGGAATATGACTCTTTAAATATTTAGGCGAGGGATTTGCTAAGAACACACTATATGCATTTTTTTGCACCCAATTCACTAAAAGAAATTACGCAAATCAGTTACAGTACAAACACATTAAAAAAGTGCAAAATGCAACTTGAATGATGCGATTCCACCTTTTCCAAGCCAGTTCTGACGACACCTTCATTTAAATACACATGACGTAGCGGTTTAACCAGCATCTGGTTAAACTAGAATAAATGGGTTAAACTTCTTAAACTTCTTGAACTGAACTTTTAAGTGAGCTGACCCTTTGTCTCACTCAGTGTAAGCATGGTTTTAGATATCAATATTTCCATAAAAAACAACAACGCAGACAATCATTGCAAGTCCGCTGATGCCCTAATCGAGGACCTGCCAAGAGCTTGTTTTAGCAGTGAAAACTATTTAAAATGTTGAAGAGCCATTAGAGGCGCAGATTTTGAGTAATGTGAGATTCAAGCATTCACCCAAACGCCGCCCCATTAGCTCCAGCAGTGCAACAATATGAAATCTGCGGTACATGCAGCCATTATGGTGTCCCACAGGGCTCGGTATTGGGCCCAGTGCTGGATTTCAGTGATGCGCAGTACTGCTTCATCCTTTCATTTGCAGCCCCAGTGAAACCGCAGCCATGTCGCACTAAATGTTATCAATCAGCTAACAGCAGCCTGGTTAAAATCACTCAAGGCTCAAATGGTATTAAAAGCTGCCAAAGCAAATGCTAAACAAATACAGTTTCAACGTATCCCTTATCTACAAGCGTCAAGCTGTCTAAAGTAGATCTCAACCAGGGGTGTGCAGTGTGAACATAATTTTAGTGTACAAGTAATTATATACTACATTAACAATATGCATCACAATACTCACTACAGTTCAAAAGTTTGGGGTCAGTATGTTTTTTGTTTTGTTGTTTTTTTTAAATATATTTATATTTTTATTGAGTAAAGATATGACAGTAAATACATTTATAATGTTACATAAGATTTATATTTCAAATAATTGCTGTTCTTTTGAAATTTCTATTCATTAAATAATCCTGAAAAAAAAATATTTTCCACAAAAATATGAAGCAGCACAACTGTTTTCAACATTGATAATAATAATAAATGTTTCTTGAGTAGGAAATCAGCATATTAGAATGATTTCTGTGACACTGAAGACTGGAGTACTGATGCTGAAAATTCAGTTTTACAACACAGGAATAAATTAAATTTTCAAATATATTCAAAGAGAAGACAGATTTTTTAAATTGTAATAATATTACACATAGTATTGGTTTTATTTGTATTTTTGATCAAATAAATGCATCTTTGGTGAGCATAAAAATCTTACTGACCCCAAACTTCTTAACGGTTGTGTTGTTTTTGCTGGAATGTGAACAAAAATCAGTATTTCTTGTCTTAAGAGAATACATATTGAATTATTCAATGATTTTCTTATGCTATTATAATTTTTCTTCTTGTATTTAGCATACAACTCACTACATATTTATTAGATTTATTCATTCAAATTGGATGAGAAAAATAAAATAGAATTAAATATAAATTCTTCAAAAACAAGTTTTAACAAGTCAATTTATCTTCCAAGAATGATTAGACATTTTTTAAATCAAAAATACAAAAGACAAAAATACTGATTAAGAAAATGAGGTTGAGATTACACTGCAAAAATTGTTTTTCTCACACAAATGTGAAAAATGATGCGAGGAAGATAAAGAGGAGTCTTTAATGATGCGATGAAGAGAATTATACGAAGGGAAAAAACGTGATGCAGTCTGCAGGCAAACATCCGGATAGAGTGGGAATCCACAGGAGACGCCACACTAAAGAAAGTCAAGTGAGAGAGAGAAATTAGAAGGTGAGAGTACAAGTGAAAAAGGCGAGTGAAAGAGGGATCAAACCTTACTACTCACTGGAGTGTCGAGTGAATTCGCGGATTCACACTTTGGGGTCTGTGAATGCAAGCCTGTGAATATTTATAAAGGAGAGTGAGCGAACGAGCCTGAAACGAGACGAGAACATGAGCTGGAGAGACATCGTTTCCTTAAAGGGGTCATATGATGCGATTTCAATTTTTCCTTTCTCTTTGGAGTGTTACAAGCTCTTGGTGCCGGATCGGCTTTCACCGTGGACGAAGCGGAGTCCAGCCCGGGGTCGTCACATGTGGTTGCCACAAGCCCGCCGGTGGCGCCGTTCTCAAGCCCGCCCGCCTCCGCTCACTCAATCCCGCCCGCCGCCGCTCACTCAAGCCGGCCTCCGCTCAATCTAGGCCGCCGCCCTCCGCTCACTCCAGGCCTCCGGCCTCCGCTCACTCTAGCCCGCCATGGGTTTCGTTGTGAAAGCGAAACTACTTTGTTTGGCCTTCCAAAAGAGGACACGGAT